AATCTGATACCATTGCAATAATCCGGTTAATATTTAATGGGAAAGGAGTAAAGGGAAGACTAGATAATATAGGCAGGCCATTTATACAGCTTTTACTAGGAAGCTGTAATTTAACATTCAAATCTGTCCCCACTGACCGATGGGGGAAGGGACTGGACAAAGGCAGTTTAGACACATGCCCAATAAGGTCTGAGTAACAGGAAAAGGAGCTTATCTGTCAATCACACCTGGGAATAGGTAATGGGCCAGAATAAATGTGGCCACTGCAAGGCCCAAAACCCTGAATATTTAAACTTCTGAACAAAGGAGTCCTTTGGCCTCTCCTGCTTGCCTGAGCTCCTGTTGCAGGGGATGTGCTCCCCTGCGTCCCCATGGCTCACACAATGGACTAATGGAGTTTTATTAGCCTGAATGCTGAACTGGTCCTGGCTGCAACATGGAGCGGAAGCTCTGGACACTGGCCTTGCTTTTGGCTCTGCTGGAACCCCAGTTGCCCCTCTTTCAGGAGTGGGTTAAGGAGCATGGGATTTACAACCAAAGGAATGTAACTCCATGCAAATAAAGCCTTTTACCACATCCCATCCTCCCGTGGGGGTTCCTGAAAATGCTTATTTCAGCAGGACCCCACCCTCTCATGTCTGAGAAATCTGGCCCACCATTTCAGCCTACTCTCTGTTGCCCAAAGTCATCATTCATTCATCAGTGAATTCAGACATTCAGCAGCCCTCGTGANCATCCCATCCTCCCGTGGGGGTTCCTGAAAATGCTTATTTCAGCAGGACCCCACCCTCTCATGTCTGAGAAATCTGGCCCACCATTTCAGCCTACTCTCTGTTGCCCAAAGTCATCATTCATTCATCAGTGAATTCAGACATTCAGCAGCCCTGGTTAATTTTCTGTCCACTAGGTTGGGCTATGGGATACCCAGGGAGCTGGCAACACTGCTCTGGCTGTGTCTAAGAGGGTGATTCTGGAAGAGATTAGCATTTGAATTGGTGGACTGAGTACAGAAGATTCGCCCTCACCAATGTGAATGGTGTCATCCAGTCTTTGACGAGACGGTGGAGGAAGGGCTAATTTACTCTGTGAGCTGGGACATCCAGCTTCACCTACCCCTGGACTTTGGCACTCCTGGCCTTTCCTCTGGGACTGGGACCTACGCCATCTGCTCCCCTGGTTCCAACTCAGACTGCATTACTGCACTGGCTTTCCTGGGTGTGCAGCTTGCAGGTGGCAGATCGTGGCTCCATAGTCTCAAGCCAATTCCTACGATGAATCTCCAATGCTATATTCTATTGGTTCTGTTTCTCTGGAGAACTGTCACTAACACAACATACTAAGCGTCCTTGGAGGCCCAGGCACTGTATTTTGTGTCAGGGGTACACAGATGAATAAAGAGATGGGAAAATGTAGTGGTTAAAACCAGAGACATTGACATTGGATGACCTGAGTTCAAATCCCAGTTTTGCCATTTGTCCTCAGAATGACCTCGCATGTACCTCTCCATAGCCTGATTCTCTCTTCCCAAAAATGGTGATAATGATGGGATTATTGTGTAAATTAAGTGAAAGCTTAATCTGTAGGGCATTTGACAACAGTGGCCACACACCACAAGCACAGTGAGAAGCACCTTGGAGGGTTCGAAGAAGACTGTGCTTCGTGGCTTAGGTTGATTCACCAGAGGCAGATCCTGAGACAAATATTCCAGTAAAAGGGATTATTAAAAAGTGATGAGGGTGGGGAGAAGGGAAAGGGAGTGGGGATGCTACCAAGCAGGGTCTGCCTTGGGCCAGACAGTAGTGTGTGAATTCTTGACTTTGTGCAGGAAAGGTGATTTGGAGAGTACATTTATTAAAGCTGGGGACAGTGGAACAAGGACGGACCAGGACAGAGGAAGCAACAGGAGACCCTAGGCGGGGCTGCTTTAGCTCACTGAAAAATCAGAGACAAGGGGCCTTGGAGACAGATTCAGGAGGTTAGCAGGGGACAGCTGCCACTTCCCATTGCTCCCCTGGTTGCAAATTTTGTGGGGACTCAGAGTTTAGGAGATGCATGCTTGAGAAGGAAGAAGGCACAGGCATGCTCCCGGGAGAGAGGGCACACCCAGGCGCCTTTTGAGGGTTTGTTTGTTTAAAAAATCTTTTTTTATTTCAGAGAGAGGAAGGGAGAGGGAGAGAGAGAGAAAAACATCAATGATGAGAGTCATTGATTGGCTACCTCCTGCACGCCCCCTGCTGGGGATCGAGCCTGCAACCCCGGCATGTGCCATGACTGGGAATCGGTGATCTCCTGGATCATAGGTCGATGGTCAACTGCTGAGACACACTGGCCAGGCTCGTGAGGGTTTTTAAAGGCTGGGAGATTAGGGGAGGTCTTAGGGGAGGATCTCAATAGAATATTCATCAGCTTTATGCTGATGTGCCAAAATGAGATTGATTCCCCAGGCTTCATCTGTCCTTGGGTGTGGCTGGCAAATGGCACTAATTGGATTTCTGCTGTCTCTCCCTCTATCTGAGTAGGGTGATTTGGGTTATTTGCCCTAAGGTTGGGGAGGAGAAGTGCAAACCATTTACTCTTAAGTGTCCTTGATAAGGGGAGATAGGATTTAGCAATTTTAGATGGCTGTAAACTGCTTGGCAGGTTAACTGTCTTAGCTTCCCTATCTCACTTGTCCTGGCTGACTAGCCTGTCTCAGGGACAGGGACCTGGAAGGGAAGGAGGCCAAGCAAAATCTCACAGAGAGCAACCTGGGGTCAGAGAACTGGGGTATTGGTACCCCCCTATTTGTCGGTCCACTTAGGGTTGGGGCAGGGGATGGGCTGTGTGGAGTGGCACTACATTTCCAGGTGCTTCCAGCACTCCCTGCACCTGGCAAAGTCCCAGCAGCCACAGAGGTCAGTAGGCACCCAAATGGTGAAAGGCCTTAGAAGAAATGTGCAGAACAGCCTCTGCCCCCGGGGGCTCAAGGGTAGGACGGCTAGGAATGAGTCGGAGTTCCAGGGTCTGCTGCAGCCAGAAGCGGTGGCCAGGTGAGGGTGGGGCGGCCAGTGGACAGGCGGCACCGAACAGAAATCCGACTGGCTGGGGAGCGAAGGCCATTCCAGGCAGCCGGGAACAGCACACAGGAGAGCACAGCCCGAGGCTGCCCACGCGTGCACGCAGGGCCGGGCCGGCGGGGACTGCCCCTCCCAGCCAGCAGCCCGACCTCCGGGTCCACCTGCCACACAGCCTGCCCTTCCGCTGCGCCCTCCTCCTGGAAGCCTCCCCTGATTGTCCCAGCTCCCTCCCCTTGAGTGTCATTCGAACTCAGGACATTGACTCCAAGGCTACTTAGGTGCTTCCTCGAGTAATTATTTAGTTACCTGCAGCCCTACTGTCTGTGACATGGTTATTTAACTTTGCATGTAAATCTTGTCTCCTCCAGTTTAATTTTAAGCTTCTCAGGCCTGGGAACTGTATACTTTCATTCTTTATACTCTCCCAGGGCACTCAGTATTGATGGTCATGTTACAGGTATAAGATAATGACTGCCTGAGTGAATGGTGAACCCAAACCACTTTGGGGCCTATTAAATTTTTATGTTCCAAGATTATTTCTAAACTCTAAACTTAGGGTTGTTGTTGTTTTCAAACTGGTGACTTACAGGTTTTAATGGGAGTTACTACATAAACAAACTATGTGGTCCTATGGGATGAATTTTAAGGTCAGAGCCCTCGATTTCTTTTAGCCCCTCTTCCGCCCCCACCCTGGTCAGCCACTCAGTTAACAGGCCGTTGGGATCTCTGGACTCTTGCCCTTTCAACTTTCTTGCTCAAATACCCTCTCTTAAGTAATTTTATTTTTTTAATCCTCACCTAAGGATATGTTTTTTAACTGATTTTAAAGAGGGGAGAGAGAGAGAGAGAAAGAAACATCACTGTGAGAGAGACACATCAATTGCTTGCTTCCCGTATGCGCCCAGGCCAGAGATGGAATCCATCCGCAAATCCTTCAGCGGCCGGATGACACTCCAGCCGAGCTACCTGACTTGCCCATAGGTACACCAAGGCTGGGGTCGACGCCCAGTCAGGGCACGGACAAGAAGCAACAAATGAATGCATAAATAAGTGGAACAACAAATTGATGTGTGTCTCTCTGAAAAATTTTAAAAAGAACTGTAAAACATTGTACCCCTCACATATCCTTAAGTCAACAGCTAACATTTTCCATTATAAGTTTAAGTACTGAAAAGCGTATTATACTTCCCCGGGAAATGCACTTCATACCAACGGCCACCTGGCTCTTTCAGTGGAGCAGATGGGCCTGACGCTTTGCGCTCCCACATCCTTAACATCCCTTAATATATGAACAGGCCCTTGGACCAGCCAGCAAACTCACCTCATTTCTTTTTCTTTTTGTTCCTTTTTCCGTTCCACTTTCCCTATAGAGTTTTATCTGAATGAAATTTTCATTGTATCTTTTTTTGTATTTTATAGTATTTTTGGAAAGTCCTTATTGTATATCTCTGTAACAGAGATACATATATAAATTGAAGTTTATTTACTGTGGTTGTAAGACTAAATGTTAAATACAGTTATTTTTGCAGTGAGTCTATAATGACAATTGTTTCAAGACATAATTGATCAAAACTACAAATATCAACTATGAGTAACAGAAAAACAAACTTTTATTGAAAATGCATCTCTCACCCTGCCTGTGTGGCTCAGTGGTTGAGCATCGACCTGTGAGCCAGGAGCTCGTGGCTCGATGTCCAGTCGGGGCCATGCAGGAGGCAGCCAATCAATGACTCATCTCTCTCTCTCTTTTCCCCCTCCCTTCCTCTCTCTCTCTCTCTGAAACCTTTTTTTTTTTTTTTAAAGAAAGAAAAAGAAAGAGCTGATTTCTATTTCCCATTTACTTAGGCTCGAGGAAGAGCCCCATGGCCGGGTTCAGGGTGGGTAAGAGAGCTGGGCCTTTGAGTAGGGGGAGAAGGGCGCTGTGTTGCTGGAGGCGGGTGCAAAGGGGACAGCTGTCCGGCAGATTCATTTCGGAAGGGGCACATATATTTGTGAAAAACGATCCCCTTAACACTTGTCCAGCACGCTTGCCCCTGGGAATGTTTCCATGTTTCAGCAGGGGTCTGCAAAAACTATGAGCTATTGAAGAGAGACTTAACCTGGCTTCTCCTTATTCAAAATCGGGTCCCAGAGTGCGGTAAACGTGGGTCTGAGTGCCCTTGGACCCTGACAGTTACATTTCCAGCCACCCTGCGACTGAGCCCCACATACTGGTGCATACTGCAAGCCAGGAACTCAAGTTACTTCCAGGTCTCTGTAGGGGTGTGGCTGTGAGGAGGGGCCAGACCATTGGCAAAGCATCGGCCTAGATTCAAAATTATGAAATTATTTTTCCATTTCACAGAAGCACTATCACTACCTCCTGATAGTTCCTAACTGCGAGCCACCCAGTGGCAGCAGAAAACACAGAGCGGCCAGTGGGGCCCAGGAGCCCCAGGGTCGGGAGGAGGAGGTGGGGGCAAGTAGATGAGAGGACTGGACCAAGGCAGGGTGTATGCTCATGCCGTCAGAGAAAAAAGAGGGGAGACGCAGCGGCTGAATACGGATCTCAGGAGGGGACAGAAAATACCGAGAGGGACCTTCAGGGTTGAGAACACAGTTGAGGGAATGAGGAAGGGAATTACAGAGTTAGGCTGAATGGGGGATAACTCAGGGGAGTCAGAAGGTGGAGATGGGCTCGGGAAGCCTCTGGGAAATCCCTTTATCTGTACTCTTCCAGGGGTAGGTCCTGGTCTGGCTCCTCCTGAGGCCCGTGGTCCACCTCAGGGGCCGGTGGCCAGGGGTTTTCTGGTGGCTGGGGTCCTGCTGGCCAGGGATCGTCAGGCAGGGGAGGTTGAGGAGGATCAGTTCTAGGAGGCTCAGGCGGCCAGACTCCAGATTTAGGGTCTCCCCAGGGATGACTGGGGCCTGGAGGTGGAGGGTCCTCAAAGATAGGGGGTACCCCTGGCCAGGGGTCACCAGGGATTGGAGGACCCTGAGGCAATGTTGGGGAGCCCTCCTCTGGTCCGGCCTCTGTGGGTGGGGAAGAGGTGTGGTCTCCACTGCCTGAGATGCCTAGAAGGAGAAAGGAAAGAGGTGGTGAGGCCCAGCAGGCTGCAGACACAGCCTGTCTGGGATGGACCACAGCCTGAGCTGATCCCAGAAACAGACCTCAGAAGTAACTCCCCACACATTTACAAAACACTGAAGTGGTCCTAAAATGACGTGAGAACTCTGTCTCGAGCCATTAACTTACCTTTAGACTGAGACGGCCCCCAAATAAGCCCTATCCAGCCCTGATTGGGTCATCCCACCTTGGCCCCATGTGGCACCCTGTGACCTTCACCCTCCTTCACTACACCTCAGCTCCGCACATCCAAATTCTGACCTAAATGGCCACATGGAGCTACCTCCCAGCCTGCAAGACATGTGCTCTGAGCTACATGCGCCTCTCGCAGCCTTTTAACTCTCCCCTCATGCGAATTCCCAGAACCTCCTCCATCCCTATGCATCCAGTTCACGCCCCCTCCTTAGTGGTCTCCTTCTTCTCACCTTGACCACCCCCCATCACCCCAAATTGCACCCTAGCCTCTATCCCCAGCTCACCTCCAGTGTATAAGCAAAGGACCAGGATCCCCAGCAGCTTCCAGTTGAGCATCATGGCTGTGTCTTGGCCCCCAAAGTCAGGGGTGAACCAAACCTGGGTGCCTGGGAACCCCAACAGGCTTTATAGGGGCGGAGGCCAATCTCTGGGGAGAGGCCAGCCCAGTGACACAAGGAATCCCATCAGAACCTAACTGGTCAAACACGTTTGGAAGGCCATGGCTGATGTGTAACCTCTGAGGCTGGCGTCCCTCATTTTAGTCCCCAGCTCAGACCCAAACAAGCAGGCTCTGTGGATGACCTGGACCCTGATCACCCCACCCATCTCCACATACTGCTCATACACTCCCTGCAGCAATCACTGCCCACCTGTCATCTCCGTAATCTCAAGGACTTCCACCTTTCATTCCTCAAAGCCACTGGAAGCCACCAGGCATGGGAAGCACCAACTTACAGGGCTGAGGACACCTGGGGAGGGGCTCTCTCCCTTTAAAATACCTGGGATGCAGCTAGGATGGTGTCAGGACACAGAGCTTCCCCCACCCCTCAGGACCCAAGCATGCTGCTCTGGAGCATGCTGACAGCTCCAGGCATGCAGGAGGCCTCTGAGGAATTTCCTCCAGGAACCACCTGGGGTGGGTGCGGGCAAGGAAGGTGAGGACATCCTGATTCCTTCTTTCCACCTTAGAGCTGGTTCCATCAGTCAGGGCCAGAGGCTCAGGAAGAGGTTGGCTCAGCTCCCGGTCATCCCAGCCTCTTCCTCCTCCCTCTGGACCCTCTTCCTGCCCTTCCAGTCCCCTCCCTGTCCTTGGCTCCAACTCTGCCTACCTCCTTCCTCCCCTTATGCTATGTCTCTCAGGAATCCTGCTAGAACTTTCCCTTAGGAAGGACCCCCCTGCCTGCAGTCTAATGAGCTTCTCAGAAATAATGTGTCCAAAACAGGACTCAATTCCTCCCAAGTTGTTCCCCACTTGGTCCCTCCCCAGCAGCATGGGACACCACTGTCCCTCTGTGGCCCATGCCCTCGCTGGAGCACCTCTCCCAGCGTCCCTCTAACTGCTCCCTTTATCCCGCCCACACCCACAGAGAGCCACCTTGGCTCTTAAAAGCATAAACTGGATTGTGTGGTTGATTCCCTGTTTAAAAAGTATTTGAGGGGCCCTGGCCGGAGAGCTGTTGGTTAGGGCAGCCTCCTGAAACACGGAGGACGCAGGTTCGATCTCCAGTAGGGCACAAGCAAGAAGCAATGATGCATAAGTAAGTGGAGCCGCAAATGCTCTCGCGCTCCCCACCTGCCTCCCCCGTGCCCACTAAAATCAACAAATTTTTTTTAAAAAGGTAGCTGAGCCCAGCCAGGCCTGGTTCAGCGGTTGAGCGTCGACCTAGGATCCAGGCGATCAGGGTTCGATTCCTGGTCAGGGCACATGGCTGGGATGCGGGCTCGATCCCCAGTCAGGGGGTGCAGGAGGCAGCCAATCAATGACTCATCAGTGATGTTCATGTCTCTCTCTCCCTCTCCCTTCCTCTCTCTGAAACCAATAAAGATATATTTTAAAAAATAAATAAAATTTAAAAATAAAAAGGTAGTCGAGGGCTTTCTGCAGACTAAGTTCTCCCAGCCCACCTCTGCACTCCCCCTGCAGGAGCCCCCCCCCAGTGGTGGCACAGCTTGACCTATTCCACTCAGGTCCAACACCATGTCCCCTCCTCAGAGGCCTTTCCTGTTCCCTCACCTACTCCACCCCAGCCCAGTCAGCTTCTGTCACATCACTGTCATTTGTTCTCTTCATAGCACTTGTCTGAAATGCTCCGTCATTCACCAGGCACGTCTCTCCCAGGGACCTTCCCGGCAAGCCCCACGGGCGAGCAGGACACTGCCTGTTAAATGGGTGAATATTTATCTGCCTCTGGCACTAATCATCTTTCAGAGGTAAAGAGTTTTAAAACTAGAGAACAAAGAAAAACTGGAGCTTCTCAAGAAACTTCCCAAGCAACCTAGAAAGGGGTTTTGGAAAAGGTACCATATAGATAAAGTTGTGTGGGGGACCACCTCTCACATTTCCCCAAGAGGCAGCTGCACAGAAAAGCCCCTCTATTCCCAAAGACAACATGTCCATGAGGTGGCTTCTATTATAGTCATCTTTATTGAGGCACAGAATCCAGACACCTTAGTGGCTGGTATCCCCAAGGGCAGGGCCCCCGAACCTCACCCCACTTCTCCATGATCCTCCTGGCCCCCTAGGGCCCCCGAGCTCCCAGGGGCTCTGAGCACCCGGCAGCTCAAAGACAGACGGGAGCAGGAGAGTTCTGGTTGTCTCCTTGAGAAGCAGCTTCCTCTCTGGAAATGGCCTCACTCAGGCCCTGCAGGTCATCCAGCAGGACAGAGAGGGATCCTGGGAAAGAAGACCCCAGGGGATGGGAGCCAGATGGGGGAAGGCCATGGTGGTTCTGTGCAGAGAAACAGGCTGCCACAGGGCGGGAGGGGTGAGGGAGGAGGTTCTCTGGTCCATGACGGGCGTGGATAAAGGAGGCTGAGACTCTCCAAGAGCCACAAAGAACAGGGCTCATGCACTGGAGTGTCTGGGATAGAGGTTCCAGTAGTGCCTCCCCCCCCCATCTCTTCCTACTCGGGCCATTACCTTTCACAGTCTTCCTGGGGGAGAGTGCTGCTGCTGGAGGTCCTGGTGCTGAAGACCCTGACGGCCTGGGGCTGGACTGCACAGGCTTCCCCTTATCCAGGGAAGGAAGAACTGCCAACAGTCGCTGCTGCTTGTAACGGGAGAGGAGACCCTCCTGCTGCAAGGTGGCCTGGGAAGGAGAGGGTTAAACGCCACCTAGCCAGGGCAGAGCCTCCCCCTCCTCTTTCCACACCTCTATTCCCAACCAGCCCCCAGCCTCTGCCTCCCCTACCAGCATGAGGTTCTTGTCCCTCTCGAGCTCCTGCAGGCGCTGGGTCAACCGCAGCCCCTCCTCCTTCCGGGCCTCCTCCTGCAGGCGCCTGAGCTCCTGGTTCCGCTCCTTTTCCCGGGTGGCTTTGCGCTGCATCTGACGCAGCGAGACCACTGTGGGGAAGCAGGACACAGAGGGGACAGGTGTGGGGACGCCCAGAGGTGGCAAAGCCCCATGGAAACAAGGCTGGGATGGGCAGGAGCTCTGATGTCTCTTGCACAGCGGGGAGGCAGCTGCCCCCTCTAGGACCCTATGAACCCATGAACCCACAGCACCTTCCCCACCAGGACCTTCCCAGAGTCCCTTAGGGGAAATCTGGATATGGACTGCATATTAGATTTTGTGCAACTAATGTACATTTTCTTAAAGCGTGGCCACGGCATGAGGTTATATGGGACATTTCCTCTTTGTAGGAGATGCAGGTCAACAGCCATGATGTTTGTAATGCACTTTCAGTAATTCCCCAGAAATGTGTTTAGCAATGTGTGCAGAGAGAGAGCAAGTGTGGCAGGTGGTCACAGAAGGCAGAGGGCGGGTGCTTATCACATGACCCTTTTCACTTGCGAGGGGTTTGAAATTTTTCCTAATAAAGAGCTGGGGGTACTCCTTGGTGGGAGATGAGGAGTGGCAGTCCCTTTTGTTGGGGCAGTGGCTGGGAGGTGCTCCGGGGCAGGTCACTTGGACTGGGTGCTGGCTGTGTGGGTGTTCGCCACTAGAGAATTCAGCTATGCCATTCCCTGATAACTTCACCTGCATATTTCACAAAAAGCTTTACAGAAAATTTCTAAAATAACCTGTCTCCATATTTCCTTCTCCCCAGAAGCCCACATCCACCCCTGCAAACCTCACCGGCCTTGGCATGCTCCTGCCGAGCCTCATTCAGTCTCCGTTCTGTTTCTGAGAGCTGGTCCCGTAGCCGGGATTCCACTTCAGCCACCTTCTCTTGCAGAGCTGGGGTGAAGGAGCACATGGGGTATGTTGGGGAGCCGTGGCTCGTGGAACCCACCCTCCATGCCCATCTCCCCTCCTGCACACCTTGCCCATAGATCTCCTGCTGCTGGGTCAGTTCCTGCCGCAGACTGGCAGCCTCCTCTGTGCTCTCCTGCTGGCTCTGGCGAGCCGCTTCCAGCTGCAGCCCCACACTGGCCAGGGACTCCTGGGTCCGCCGCAGCTCCTGCTCCAGCTGCTGGGCCACCTCATTCAGCTGCTGCCGCTCCGCCTCCCCTGGGAAGGGGTGGGCTCAGGCTCCCTTGGGCCTCTCCACACCCTCAATCCCAGCTCTTCCCTCCTCTTCTCCACTGTGTCCCCAGTGCACTGACTGCCCAGCTGGAATGCAAGGACCGCAGGGCCCGGAGTACCTTGCTCCCGGGCGCGGCCCACCTCCTGCTGGATGATGTGGGCACTGAGCTGCACTTCTGCATCCAGGCGGCTCCGCTCTTCCCGCAGCTGCTCCAACTCAAGGCTCACATCCTCTGTTGGTGGGGCTGGGGGGCGGCTGAGACAGAGTGGGGGCAATCACCCAGCTGCCTTACCCCTATGCCCCATTCCTACTCCATTCTATTGTTTTGGGTCTCAGCAACCAACACCTGAAAGCCCCACCACGATCCCCCAATCCACCACCTCCAAGTGCCCTGAACTTCACCTCTCCTGGCGCAGCTGAGCAAGGGCCAGTTTTCGAGCCATCAGGCCTGGGGGAGAAAAGGCAGACAGCAACAGAGATGAGTGAGGGGAGGAGGAAAGGGGAGGTGGGGGTAAAGGAAAAGAGGCACGGGCTGATGAGACAGCAAGAGGATGGACATGGTCAGCAGAGAGCTGGCGGGGCGGGACAGGGCAGCACAGATCTGGCCTGGCAGTGGCCTACCCACCCTGAATGGTGTGGACCTTGCGGACGGCATAGCTGACTCGGCTGCTGAGGCTGGGCAGCCGGGCTGCAGCCTGCTCCACCTTGGCCTCGGTGTTCTGGAGCCAGGTCTGAAAGCTAGACAAGGGACAAGGCCACTGACCCTTCAACCCCACCTCATTCCCAAAAGGACTTGACCTGCGGTAGAGACAACTCCCTCTACCCTATCCTGCAACGGCCCTGTGGGCAGCAGAGAAGGGAAAAGCCAAAGCCGTGTCATATCGTGTCCGGGCTCCTCAGCTGCTAAAACAGGAAAACCTGAGGCTTGAGCCCTGGAGTGACTGTCACATAAATATGATCCAGTTGCTCATCAGAAAACCATGGCCTTCCTGGTCTCCAAGCTTCTCCTCTGGGTCATAAGGTTCATGGGCACACCTTATCTGGGCCTAGATGCCACCGCAGGCAAGGGTGGAGGAGACATGGCTCTGACAGGCCAAGACGAGTGCCCCCAGGCTGGCTCGACTAGTGAATTTAAACTTTTTCACCTGCAGGCCCCTGGGCACCGCCGCAGGTCTGGGCCTCTCCGGTCATTGATTTTAGATGTACTATCGATAAGCAGATAAAGCGTACAGCTTTAGATTTTTTCCCAACTAATCAGGGTGTGCCTGTAAAATTGTAAAGAGAAAGAAAAGAAGAAGTCCCCACATTCCCCATCCTTGAACAACTGAAGGTGGGGTCCTCCCAGGGCTCCCTTTAGCTCAAGCTGTTACTGGACCAAATACAGGAGGAAGCTGCCTCACCTGCAGCCAAACACACAGTGGCTGTGAGAGCAACCCTGGTGTGCACAAGGAGGGGCAGCCCCAGGAGAAACAATACAGGAACTTTACGGGGCCAAATACCTCCAGCCAGCTTTCCAGCTGCTCTTGCTGAGGCTCTTAAACTCCAAGGTGCCTGGGAGGCTGGGGAAGCAGAAATCTTACCCCACCCACCCAGTCCCAGACACCTGCTGACAGCATTGGCCACAAGCTTCAGCTGCTCCTCAGCCGAGGCTGTCTGCTGCTGCCCCCGGCGCCAAGCTTCCTGGGCCCGGTTCAGCTCCATCTGCAGGGACTGTGAAGGAGACAATAAAGGAAAGGGTCCCTTCTCCAGGGTGTGGCCAAGGACCCAGGCTTCCCAGGCTCCCTTAGCCCCTGCCTGGCCTCAGACACTGACCTTGGCACCTAATCGCTCCACCTCCACCTGTGCAGCTCTGTCCTCCAGGGAGCGCTGCAGGATGGCCTGCTCCTGGCTCTGGGCTGCTGCTCTTTCCTGGAGTTCTGCCACCTGGGGGAGGAGAGGAGGCAGGCGGGGCACTGGGAGTGCAGGGACAGGTGCAGAGGTCTCAGAAAGAACACCATTCAGGGAGACAAGAAGCTTGGGTTCCCGAGAATGGAGTCTGAGTCCAGGTCTCTATCCAAAGCAATTTCCACGTGCCCACACCTTGAGGACCTGCCCACCCCTCCTCAGAGAGGCCGCTCTTCACCATCCTATCTGATGCCGCCCCCCTGGTCTCTGTCACGTGGTGGGTCACCCCTTTCTTCACAGCACAATTACTTGATGTTACCTATCTGCTTGCCTCTGTGTCTACTCCAGGACCTAAGCTCTGACTTTGCTCTGGGCTGTTCCCAGCATATGGCAGCCACTCACTAACACTGGTTGAATAAATGCCACCCCATATCAGCAGCAAGTTTGGGGGATAACATGGGAAGGAAAAATGCCAAGTAACCTGTCCCTTCAGCTGCTGCACGCACGCTCCATGCTCCAGTTCCTGGGCCTTTAGCTGCACCATGAGGGCAAACACCTTCTCCCGCCAGCGTGTCAGCAGGGACTGGCCCTTCCTGGGGAACTCGGGCTCTAGGGAATCTGAAGGCTGCACCTGTGGGGCAGGGGAAGAGGCAGTGTGGCTACTAGGGGAGCAGAGGAAGCTGCATCTTGGTTTTTCTCTGCACTGCCAGGCGACGGGAGCCACAGTGAGAAGAGGTCTGTGTACAGCAAGAAAAGCTCTCAGCGGGGTCACACCCACCCCTCCTACCCTCAGGGAGGCACAGGCGAGGGGCCTACCTTCCTGGCCAGCTCCTCCTCCTGCATGGAAAGGATGTGTGTGAGGCTCTGCACGCGCACCCGCAGCAGCTCTGCAGTCCCGTGTAGGCCATCTCGGTCCTCCTGCAAGTGCTGCCAGCAGGACAGGCTGGAGAGTGCCGCTCTGCACCCTTCTCTCCTGGGGCACGCCCTCCCAGGCCTGGGACACCCGCATCGGCTGCACAGATGCACTGGCATTCTCACCTGCACGGTCTCTAGAAGCTCCAGTCGCTCTGACTCCCATGTCTGGCTGTGAACCTCGGGGGGGACTTGTTCCCCCACATATCTCCTTAGGTTCTCAACCAAGGTCACCTGAACCTCCAAGTCTTCTTGGGTCTTGCTAGGATTAGGATGGGAATAGGGTAGCCATCAGTGGGGCACCCTAGAAACTCACCCCACCCACCACCTGCTGGGCTCCCCTTGGGCCACCCACCTACTTACCTCAGCTGTTCCCGCAGCAGCTGGGCCTCCCTCCGGGCCATGGCCAGCTCCGTGGCTTCTCCTGCCCTGCTGGCTTCCATGCTAGTCAGAGACTTCTCCAACCCCTCGGCTTTGTGGGTCAAACTGGAAAGAGCCTCCTGGTGAGCCCGTGTCAAGGAGGAGAGCTGCAGAGAGAGGGGGCTCAGCCAGGGCAGGCTCACCCCCACACCTGGGCTTTCCAAGTCACCCCCTGCTTTGACCGTGTTCCCTCCCACTTCCTGTGACCTTAGACAACAACCAAACACATCGCCCAACAGTGCCATCAAATGGGGCCATCTCTGGGGCCTTATTCCCCATCGCCCTCCAGCTCATCAGCAGTTCCTGTCAGGTCTTCCCCAAAATTATATCTTCACTTCTCTCCACTTTCCACCACTAGCCTGAGGTAGGCCACCCCCACTCTGGCCTCGACAATGGCAACAATCTCCCGACCAGCTCAAGGAACCTCCAGTGGCTCCCCATGGCATTCCGAACAAAACCCAGCTTCCTCCCTCAGCCTTGAAGCCCCCATGCCAGGGCCTGCTTCTCTGAGCCCATCTCCTATGGCTCTCCTCACGTTCCACATGTCACCTTGTTGAGAAGGCCCCCCATTCTCCAATCCCCACCCACCACGGCTCTGTCCTTCCGCCTGCTCCAGGCCTTTCAGCACTTGCTGTCATCTGAGATGACCTTGGGTCTGCCACAGCCCACTTGAAAGGGAGCTCTAAGAAGGTAGGAACACTGAGGAAGTCATGGGACAGACAGGAAAGAGGGAGCATGGCTGTCCTCATCTCCAGTCTGTCTCCCTTTGCCCAATTTCCATGCCACAGTCAGAGTGATCTTTTTGGATAGAAGTCACAAAGCTGATCCTGTCATTTCCGTTTTAAACCTTTTACTAGTTGCTCAATGTTCTTAAGATAAAGTTCTGAATGGGCCAAGGCCTCGCAGTCATCCACACGACCACCCAGGGTCCCGCAGCTCCTGCACACAAGCCCCTCTGGCCACCTCCTGTCCCATGTGCTGTCTGCGGTCACAGCAGCTCCCCTCGCCACCCCACACGCCTCACCAGCCAACTTCTACTTGGAACAAATATCACCTCTTATAATTAAGCATCTTTCATGAACCTAAAGGCCATTTATATTTTCCTTTGAACTTCTCTGACTCCCCTTGTCAATTTCTACGCACACATTATATAATAGGGGTATTCGCCTCTTCCTGTGACATGAGCTGTAAATATTCTTCTTAGTTTATCATCTGTCCTTTAATTTTACTTTTACTGTCATTCCTAAGTTCAGTATTATAAAGTCAACTACCAATCTTTTCTTTAGTGGCTCTGAATTTTGATTCATATGTAAAGTCCTTCCCCATTCAAGGTTACAAGGAATTTACCCAGATTTTCTTCCAGTATCTTTATGGTTTCGTTTCTTAACATGCTGACTGATTAGGGTGACTTTCCTAATTCCCCTACCAGCTAGGGCTCCCTTGTCCTTCTTCATGGCACTTCTCCCAAATGCAGGCAACTACTTAGGATTAAATCAAGTGTTGAATGTGTGTTCCCCACTAGGCTGCCAGCTGCACCCAGGAGGTAGAGACTCACTGATGTGCTCACCAGAGGCTCAGCTCCTGTCTCAGGGATGGAAGAGTAAGCACAGATAAATGCTTACCAACTGAGCAGTCTCCCCTTCCCAGTCCATCATACGACACACACTCCCAGTGCTCCCAGATTAACTGGGTACCCGGAGTGAAGGAGGAAGACAAACTACTCCCTACTGGAAGGGGAAGGAGGGCTTCAGGTGGTGGGTGGTCATCTGAGTCCTGGGAACAAGAACAATCTGAATAAGACCAAAACACCAAGGTCTCCCTCTTCCAGGTCATGCTTTTTCATCACCCCACTGCTCGTGGGGGACTTTTCTTCAATATCTGCTCTCTGAGGGGAAGCCACTTCCCAGATCCCCACTGTGGGGCCAAGCCCTTCCCACCCCATTCACCTGCTCCTGGTGCAGCCTCTGAACCTCCTCCATCTCCCGCTGGCTCCCCTCTTCCAGGTTCTTCCGGACAACCTCGGCCCCAGCCAAGGCAGCACGCAGGCCCTCGGCCTCAGCTCGGCCGGCCTTCTCTGCCCGTGCCAGAGCCTCCAGTTCCATGGCCTGGGCCTCCAGCCTCATCTTCTGCTGCAGCGAGGTCTCCCGCAAGACCCGGACCTCCTCCTCGAGCCGTCGCAGCTCCTGCAGCTGCCTAGAGATCAGTTCTGCCTGCTGGCTCAAGGCCTGAGACCCCTGCAGCTCCATGGACCTTGAAAGACAGGTTAGCACAGGTGAGACCTGTCTCTGGCGCTAGGAAGGTCGCCACAGTCATAATAGTCAGAAAAGATCCCTCTGTTCCCATGTGGGGAGAAGGGGTGGACAAAGCTGGGCCATAGGGATCTCTGCATTTCCATCACCATTGTCATTCGAGGCCCTACTAAGCATATTAGGTCTAGTGTCTGGGCTCATGGCTCTCTAGAGCAGCGATTTTCAACCCGTGTGCTGTAAGAATTTTTAAAACATGCAATACCTGACTATTTAGTCATGGGTGCTGACCTCTTTTCCCTTAAACTGTCAAGTAAAAAAGTGGCAACAGCCAACACAACAACAGCTGTCTGGTGTGAATGCCGTATTAAACAATAAATAGATAGATCATAGAATAGAGTTGTAGTTTATTGGTCACGTCACATAAAAAGGTTGCATCTGATTGGTTAATTCTTGGTACCAGAAATCCTTATATTCAAGTATAGGCACCCAATTTTTTAAAAAGTCACTTTGGAGCAGAAAGAGTAGGTAATTACTATTACTATATTTTTTGTAAATCAATCAAAATTATACCCTTTTTTGTCAGATCAGCAAAAAATACATTTTTGGTGTGCTACAGAATTTTAGTAATTAGTTTATGTACCATGAGATGAAAAAGGTTGAAAATCGCTGCTCTAGAGAGAGCAATATACAGGCCAATGTCCTAACAGCAACTGTGCACATCATTAGGCCACACATTCTGAACTGAAGAGGTTGGAAGGATACTCAGGGGCTTTCGAATTCTGATTTAAGGGCAAGGAGAAGTGCAGAAGTGGAGAAAGAAAGCTCATGGCTTCCAGTACCAATATGGGGAGGCCAGGTGCTGGCTGAAAGCATATATGGGTGTTAGGTATGCTCAATGAGGGTCTGAGAGGACAGTACATCAATAAATTATGTAGTCCCAACCTTTCGAGACTGGTGTAACGTAAATTTTAAAGCACCTTATAACACGGCTCTTGGCACAGCTCCCTCACTGAGGCCCAGTACCACAGGATTTTTTTAAAAAGCAGGGAACTGCAGCCTACAGAAATTAAGCTGATGGCCAAAGGACCCATAGCTGGTAGCCACACTACGAACAGAGAGTCTCTGTCTCCTGACACTAGAGCAGGTGTTGTCATCATGCTCCTTCCTCTTTGATGGAGTCCAGGGTAGATCCGCCCACAATCCCACTCTAGAGTACAATGGCACAAAGACATGCCAGTTTATCAGGGAAAAGATACACAGGAAACATGAATAAGAAGCCTGCCCGGCCAGCATGGCTCAGTGGTTGAGCGTCAACCCATGATCCAGGAGATCGCGGTTCGATTCCGGTCAGGGCACATGCCCGGGTTACAGGCTCCATGCCCAGTCGGGGGCGTGCAGGAGGCAGCTGATCAGTGACTCTCTCTCAACATTGATGTTTCTCTCTCTCCCTTCCTCTCTAAAATCAATACTTTAAAAAAAAAAAAAAAAAAGAGTACAAGAATTTGAAGGAAAAGGTGAATCTAAAATAAGGTGGGGGCCATGGGATCTGAAGGAGGGAAATAGATTTAAGACACATTATAGTGGTAAGTCTATAGAACTCCATAATGTATAAATAATACAAATAGCTTATCAATACATTTTTAGAATGTCAGACTTACTAGCATACAACCAAAGCATAAAAATATAAATAAAAATTATGATGAAATGACATTTCTCATGTGTCAGAATGGCAATTTTTTTAAATCNTTAAAAAAAAAAAAAAAAAAAAGAGTACGCAGCTTTACAGACAACACATCAACAAATAGCATGGCCAGCTCCAACAGCACATACTCTGTCAAAATAAGTTCATACTAGCACAGTACAGAGTCCCAGTCTGAACTTCATCTTGCCTTATTAACATCAGCTGTTGGTCAATGTCTCTTCCCTTATAATTTTAAGTTCCTTGATATCAGTATTTCCCCTATTTATTTGTTATCCCCACCCCTAGCATCTAGCACGCTCTTATTATTACTTATGCCTTGTACGCACCAATAATTGCTATGGAAAAATGAAGAAATTATGGAACTAAGGTCTGAAGTAGGGTAAGAATCTATTTCAGTAAAGGATCACTGGCAAACAGGCCTGAGAAAACAGTGACAGCAGACCTCCTACCTGCCTCTCTGCCCCGGCTCCTGCCCATTGCCAGAAACATCCTGTTCCCACATGATCATTTGAGGTCTCTGGATGTCTGGCCGCCTCTCTGAGACACCTTGATGGGCTGGGTGTTGGACCAGGGGAATGTCTGAGACCCAGGTGGGAGCCATTCTTGGCATGGTTGGAAGGGGCCGAGCTTGGAAATGGGATGGGGGGATGAGCCCAGTGGAACCTGAAGAATCACAAGGACAAAGACGGTCAGTTTCCCAGGAAGAGACGATCACCAGTCCCCTAGGGAGGTCCCACTGACCTGAAGGTCGGAACATCTCCACATTATTTGAAGTCTCTAGATTCTGTGTGCAGCCATCTATGTTCCCCTGGACAACAGGAGAAACAAGGGCACTGCAATTCAATTTTCAGGCAACCTTCCAGAGAGAAAGCCCCTAAAATAACAAAGTTACAATACTCAAATAATAGGTCCAGCAGACTCTAAGCTCCTCTTTTCCTACTTCCCGAAAGAAGTAGGAAATACCCAAAGACCACTTGCTTGACCCAGCCTGGTTCCTGAGGTAACTATGGCAATAGCCACGGGGTGGGAGGGACTTGACTGAGACAGGCTGAGGGAGCTCTTCGGCTTTACTCGAACTTTCAGGGTCTGGGCAGCGCCTTTACCCTCCTCCTCAAGTTTCTACAGCCTCTGCCATTCCTGGTCTCAGGTGAGAGCGGAGGGACGCAGTGCAGGGGCCGCGAGCCCAGTCTCCAGAGTCCCCTCGGTGGCCCAGCGAGGCCTTGGGGAGGCCCATCCGCACACCACCAGGCCAGCGCCCCTGGGTCCCCCCCTACTAAAGCGCTGGCCCAAGGCCTGGCCCCAGGTGGATGCGGCATGCCGGGCAGGACGGCTCCCCAGGACGCTGGGAGACCAGGCGGCCTAGACCCCTGGGCGGAGAAGCCAGCTTCCTGACATCTCCCACACCTTCCAGCCGCTCCCCCGTTTCTACTACCCCGTCGGCCTCCAATCCTGTCGCCCACCCTCCTCTCTCGAGTCCTAGGGCACAGAGGGCTCTTCAAGGTCTCCCACTCTCCCGCCCAAATTCGTCGAGCTCCCCCAATCTGGGATTCCCATCGGCCTCCCTCCCTGCACCCTGATTTGCTTTTCTCCTGCAGGCATTCCTCTGCTCCCCCGCTCTCACCCTCCCCCGCTCAACAGCCTGCTCTCGCTCCGCGCCCCAGCGGCTCTCGGCCCCGCCCCTCCCCGACGCCCGAGTCTCCCCCGTCGGCCCCTGAGCTCTAAGGTGCTCTGACCGCCTCGTCCGTCCCTTCACCCGGCC